ACATCGTCGGAAGCTTAGGATCGCGGTTGGTCAGTGGCAGTTACCATGAAAATTTCGGAAGTGTTGTCATGGCAATGGCGTAAGATCCGCCATGTTTTTGGCTTCACTTGTTGATGCCGAGCAGGTCCTCCAGTAATATAGTATAGCTCAGTGATTCCCACTAAGTATGTAGATCCGCGTCGCTCACCACCTTGGATAACACCAAACATCTTGCACCAGATTCGTAAAAAAGCAACTGCCCGTAAGAAATTTCTACATAAAGGAACTGACTATCTCAAAGAAAAGTTTAGCAGATTACGAAGCGAGGTCAAAAAAGTTATACAAGAAAGCAGAGAGTCGTTTTTCGCTTCCTTGGGCAGCTTTTTAAAGGTGAATCCCAACCGTTTTTGGTCCGTACTCAAATTTAATTCAAGTTCTGGAAACATACCAAACTCTGTCTCAAGATTCGACAATAACAATCCTGGGAGTAGATTACAAGCTAATACACCTAGTGACATTGCGACGATGTTTAATGAGTACTTTCAATCTGTCTACACCTGCTTTGAGGATCTATCACCTTCGTTTCAACCAGATTCATCTTCCCCATTATCGAGCATTTCATCAATTGACCTATCGGTAGAAGAAGTTTTCCAAGCCTTGCAGAACTTAGATCCGTCAAAGGCTCATGGTCCTGACGGGTTTCCTTCGCGCATTCTAAAAGAATGTGCCTTCCAACTAGCTCCATCACTTCATCATCTATTCACTAAGTCGCTCCACTTATCGCAGGTTCCAGCCGAGTGGAAGTTAGCCAACATTGTTCCCCTACACAAGAAAGGACAAAAAGATCATGTGGAAAATTACCGCCCTATTTCATTGCTATCAATCATAAGCAAGGTCCTTGAAAGATGTGTCCTCAATCATGTATCCTACCATATTCAGTCCAACATTAATTCGGCGCAGTACGTCCAACATTAATTCGGCGCAGTACGGTTTCGTTAACGGAAAATCAAGCACAGCTCAGTTATTATCAATATTAAATATTATTGGAAAGAACTTGGATATGGGATTACAAACTGATGTTGTTTTTATGGATATTGCTAAGGCTTTCGATACCGTTGACCACTCCAAACTGTTGCAAAAGCTGCAGGAGTTCGTTTTTTCTGGTTCTCTCCTCCTGTGGTTTAAGAATTATTTATCCGGACGCTTCCAACGAGTAACTGTTCACGGTGCTACGTCGACCACTTTATCCATTACTTCTGGGGTTCCACAAGGATCGTTATTGGGTCCCTTTCTCTTCTCTGTATATATCAATGACTTACCTAGCTATGTATCATCCTCTACTGGGGTCGGACTGTTTGCTGTCGACACCAAGCTGTATCGTTGCATAAAGAATCCTTCTGATGCCTTGGTCTTGCAACAGGATATTCGGCAAGGTCTTCGATGTTGGTCAAATGAAAACCACCTTCATTTCAATCAATCCAAGTGCAAGGTACTCTCTATAACCAGAAAAACATCACCTTTGGTTTCTCCATACAGTCTTGCCGGTGACCTGTTGTCCTTTTCTGATGCTGAAGTTGACCTGGGTATAACTATCAGTCCCAAATTAACATGGATCCATCAAGTGAGCAAGGTGAAGTCCAAAGCTAACAAATTACTTGAATTAATTAGGCGGTCTACCTTGGAGATGACTGACATCAAGGCGAGAAATTATCTGTACCTACAGCTTGTTAGAAGCAATCTTGCGTACGCATTCCAAATATGCGAAGGTGCAGAGAAGAGCAACCAAATTTATTCTTAATCTTGGGTTTGTCACCAACATACCATATCCAATAAGACTACATAACCTAGATCTACTACCAATAACTTACTGGCACGAATACCTGGATATATTCCTACTCCATAAAATCATTAACAATTATACATATATTGACGACAGTGCTCGACCGATTATTTCAGGATCAGGAATTACCAGAAGTGAAACTAATGACAATTCTTAATACCTTATGCCAAAACTGTAACGTCCCAGTCCTCGTATTTTATTAGAGCTTGTAAAACCTGGAACATCCTAAGTGATAACCTTCGAGACAGAAACATTGGTTTTTTTATGCTTTTAAATCAGGACTGAATTTGTATTATAAGAACGCACTATCGAACACGTATAATTGTGACGATCCTCGGACTTAGAAATCTGTCTGTGTTAAATGTAAATGGGCTAGATCCCTTGATGGTGTTTTAAACTGTTGTTAGTTGTCAGTTTAGCCGTTTTGTAATTGTGTTGTTCTACTTTACCTGTTTCGTTAATCAATTATTTGAACGTATTTTTTTCTCTTAATAAAAAGTCTTCTCTTTAAACATTTAATAGGAAAAATCAGCGATACAAAGTTTGTAAGTCGACGTTTCGATGTCATCATAACACCATTATCAAGACTAAGATAAAAATAAGCTAGTTCACTAAAATTTAAATACAGACTTATTTTTATGGAATACATTATAATAAAATTAAATTACCATGTTATAAAAACAAAGTTTGAACGGACAATCAGACTCAATTAAGTCCAAACTATTTTAGTATGCCTCATTAACTTTGTTTCTATAACATGCATATGGTGATTTAATTTTATTATAATGTATTCCATGTAAAAAATTCTGTATTTAAATCTTAGTGAACTAGCTTATTTTTATCTTAGTCTTGATAATGGTGTTATGATGACACCGAAACGTCGACTTACAAACTTTGTATCGCTGAATTTTCCCATTAAAAGTATTTTTTTTATGTAAATATTAAGGGTCGTCGTAATTGGGGGAACTGTGGCGAACTCCCTGGCACTACATTGTTGTATTTTTAGGTAGTTCATGCCGAATCTTATTAAAACATTAAAACATTCCGGCCAGTATTACAAATATATTGAACATTGATAAAACAAATTTGGTTCCACCCTTTCCCAATTTCAATGTTGTAAACAACGCCAAACTCAACATTGCTCAACATCAAGTTGGGGGAGCAGGGGCGTAAGTAGGGCGACATTATTCAACATGGAGTTATCTCATGGAGTTATGTCCAAGATTGTAGCTCAGCTATACACATTTTCATCGCACAAGTCTGAAAACTACTCGGCAGCAACATCGCTGATAAGATTATTTGCATTTCCCTTTCCAAATTGAATATATTCTTCCCTTTCCATATTCAAATATCAATTTAAAAATGATTAGTTTCTGACATACTAATTAAAATGATATAATCTACTAAGGAGTCTGTTACTAGTTGAAAATTCATCGAAGAATGATTGTATGTTGTGTGTCTTTGTTAATATTAAGCCATTTTTACCGACTCACTTATCATAATTTTATCACAATTAATATTAAAATGTAAACTGGCAACCTGGTATTTTTAGCTATCCCGGGTTATTTCAGGATTGCCAGGACCCTATAATAAAATTATAAAATTGTAAAATGTTCATTTATTTAATGTATATTATAGTTGTAAAAACGGGTCAATAAAGTTTTTATCTTGCCTTGTCCTGTCTGGACATTGCTAAACCACGAAACAGCGAAACGAAACAGCAAAGCAACACGTTTTATATTATTTTTATTAAAGGAAATAAACTCACATATAAGTCAAACTAGAACAAAGTTAGATGAGATCAAATCCTTAAAGTTACAACGCCATGCATCAGCACATAATAGTCTCACGTGTTATTAATCTTTATGATTGGGAAGGATGGAAACTCTTCTGCATTTCGAGCATCAAAGTTTCCTCTGTTATAATTTTTTTGAACTTTTCATGTTTATTTGACATTAAATTTTGGCTGTGAAACGAGAATGTATGTGGATATGCATGGGAAAAGGAGTTTCCGCCTTTCTCTATAATAAAGATTTAATATACGTCACAACACCACTGGAAGTCTGGCAGGCATTCACAACGCATGCAAGATTGAGCATGGTTTAAATGAACACATATATGGCTACAAAAACAGTTGCTGGAATATTTTAACGGTAACACATTATGAAATTGTATCGGATTTAAGTATTTTATTCTTTTGGTGCCAATTACAATATTAACTATTTGGGGTTCCTATGGATTTATAAAGGATTTACTAATAAAACATACCGTACATGAAAATATTCTTCAAATTGGGTAAACTTGTCACAGTTTTGACGCTTATTTTCCTTTTACCTACTGAGACTATATGTGCTGATGGCGTCATAAACTTGTAACTTAATTAATAATTTAATTTCTTCTCGTCTAACTTCGCTCTAGTTTGACCTAAATGTAGTTAATTCCTTTTACTAAAAATAATATAAAACGTGTTGTTTCGTTCTGGTGTTTCGTTGTTTCGCTGTTTCGTTTCCCTGTTTCGTGGTTTAGTAATGTCCGTTTGTCTTGTCTTGTCCATTGTCGCCATTTTTACCAACGACACGTGAAGACACGATGAGCTCTCACTGGCCACGATGAGCTATTACTCTCCAGCAGCCCAACACTAAGCTTGCAACATTCGCAGAATTTCTTTTCTTGCTAGGTGAAAATATCAAACACCACAGATATTTTCTTTAAGGTATCGAGGGGTTTAATCCTCACGAAAACTATCCGCACACAAGAGAAACATGCTGTTTTAGCCCAACAAGTTTCTCTCGTGTACGACTGGCTTAAGACAAAAACGACTGAGCATTCTAGTACGTCGTAGCTGTTCAAAGTGCACGTTATTTAGGATACGTCATTATCAAGGTTCATAATCACACAAACAGTAAATACACTTTCAGTTGGTAATAAATCCTTTGGCTCGCAAAAAGTTATTTTATTTTTGCCAAACTGTCCAATGGAAGAACAAGGGAGGAGAGGGGGACTTTTGAGGTATAGACGGTTGGCACTTAGTACAATAAACCGTGTTACTTTAAAAGAAATTAATAACGAAACCATTAATCACAAACAATCACTATATAGGGTGTCCCCAAAAAACCCGAAAACTATTGAAATCACTTATTGTTAAAATTGAATGTCCTACCAAAAAGCTGAACGTAATGATGCGTAAAATATTGACAAGGTGCATCTATTAAAATTTAGTTTAAGAACATCTCCTTGTAAATGCGCGATTTTCTGCTCTTGGGAATTTAAAGCAGCTTCATAAATAGTTTGCTTATACAGTACAGTATATTCACATTGACTAAATCGCATAACAATATACCCAATTTCTTTTCTTCGTTATTTTCTGTCAATTGGTTAGAGAGTATCCGCACTAATGGGCAATGTGTCTGTCTTGCGGTTACTTTATTACTCACGGTGGGGCTAATCAGTCCATGTTCTACAGTATATAATTTAAAACGACAGGTATTACATATAGTAACTCGGCAGACACCAAAATACTAGCGCAACTGGGAATGCGCGTAATTGAAATCAGTGTGTCGATTGTCATTTTAACCATTGTAAGTGTTATGTATTAATGTCCATACCATTAAAGCCTGGTGCTTTGCAAGCAAAAAAATGATATCATGCAAATTATTGATTTTTTGTAATTGATCATGTCATGCAACAAGTCGCCATTATTTTGATGCTTTAAATGGTATTCTTTTTAGCTTTTTCTACGCCTATGCTGACGACACTAATGAAATAAGCCAATTCAGAGTTTCCACTGCTTATGACGTATTCTAAATAAAGTGTAGTTGAACTTTAACATATAGTTATGACTGGAAGATTAGAATATGCATATCAGATTACTCAGCTGTTCCAGTCACCGTTAGAATATGCAAATGTTATACTCAAAGAACAATTAGTTTCCGCACTGTTGATTCTCTTAAATTGAAAAATATATAATTCTTGAATTAGCTTATACCAAGTTAAAACGAACCTTAAAGTATCAGCATGCAATGATATCTCATTGTTAAAACGTATATTTAAATGCAGGTTTGCAAAACGTATTGATTTAAAATTTCGATATACAGCCGCTTAGCAACAGCGGCATACAAACTATCTAAGCTAGATATTAATACAGTACAATTGCGACCAAACGGTGGGGAGGCGACCAGTTAATTTAATTACCTTTAATAGAAACTTTATACAACATTATTATTATTATTTTTCGATTGCGTTCAGTTGTTCTCAGTTGTTGTGAAAAGTCTTGAGCACGTTGTTATCACCTTCTTACAAGGTTGGTGACGGTGACAGACATGCTACAAGTGGTCACAACAAGTCTAATACAGGATATTCGCAACAATTCGCTGCACGCTTGCTACAGCTTGTTATCATCAAGTTATTAACAACTTGTTACGTGCCGACGATACCAGACTCGTTGGGACAAATTGTTGGGAGTCTGTTGGCCTCGTCAACCTTGTTACAAGATGATAACGACTTTTCCACATTTGTCGGCAACTTGAACAAGCAGGGCAAACACATATTTTGACAAACTGATTATTACCCCTTGTAACTAAGTTGCTGTGAAATGACTGCAAGTGTGGCGTTTCGACCGAGCAAAATATTTCTCTGGTCTAACATTATTATTAAGTTAAGTAGCTTAGTTAAGTGAATATTTAATTGCACTTATATAATTATAATAGTTTGTATGTATCAGTAAATTAGTTTTAAAATTGTAATAGTTAGCCAGCACACCTCTCATGGAAGTCAGCATAATGTTGAATGAGATTAGTGAGCCTAAAAAAGTTGATCTATCTAACACTAGCGAAAAAGGGATAGACTCCCTTGCTGCACGGCTTATATCGGCAATATGCCTCTTCGACCTACGCACTTAACACTT